CGGAGCAGCCGCTGAACGAGGGCCTTGTGCCCTTTCCCCCGGGAGCCGAGCGCCCACCCCGGCCCCCACGCAGGTTCGGTCACCTGCCTCTCCCCTCGTGCGCTCTGTCGAAGGCAGTAGTAGACCATCCCCCTCCTCGGACCTTGCCACCCCCGCCATGTGCCTCCACGGAGTGTTCAACACGCCAGGGAGGCCGTGGGTCATAAAACTGCTCTGTGGCCTTTGTCCCTCTGCTTTCGTCCCCTCCTGACACGCTGTTTTGTTACATTTTGGGATAAAGGTGTCTTCGCCAGCTTCTGCAAGCTTTGACACTGGAGGAGTTCCAGGTCTGGCAGCTTATGCATGATGTTTGTGGACTTGCACACTCTGGGTGTGATTAATAAAGCTGTAAATTATTTGAGACTGGCCTATTCAAAGGACATTTCTCTTAAGTCACGCCCTTGCTGTGATGGTAAGAGAGGCCACTTTCTAGGGCTCTGTTACTGGAAGGAATGGATGTGCTTTGCCAGAGCTCTGAGGCTTTTGCATCTTTTAGTTAAGGAAGAAATGCTGAATTTAGTGAATTTGTCAACATGCTAGAGAGGCCACTTTGTTGAGGGGAGCTGGGGAGGCTTCCCTAAGGTATGTTGCTTCAGTAGTGAAGAACTGGGAAGGACCATCGTTGACCCCTGGAACACTGATCAGTTTTAGTCCTGCTGTGCTGTGTGTCCTACTGCTGATTCCACTGGGAGTATGGCATGGATGTCTCAGCTGCAGAAGTCAGATTTATTTATATTTATACTTGGCTGTTAACTGTGTGTTGCCTGCATACCTCCTACCGTGCGATCGCTTCCTCTCTATTTCCTGTCCAAACTGAACTTATTGCTCACTTATATTTGAGAGAAAGTGGTAAAACGCATCAAAACAGAGCTCTTAATTCTTCCTTGCCAGTCTTTATTTCTTCACTTGGTCACAAATGACACTGTCTTTGTGATCATGCTGGCCCTGCAGGCAGCCCATAGTGCCTTTGGCTACAGCCTTTTCCCCTTGGTCTGGGCACTTAAGCTGTGTCTGAAGATTGTTGTTTTGTTTCCAGCCACATGAATTACATTCCCAGCTAAGCTCTGATAATGACTATAGCAAATTCTCCCTCTCTGGGCTTGACAGGTCTCTTTAGACTTCCCCAATATCCATTCAGAGCATTCAGGGCAGACTTTCCCCCTCGTGTTGCTCTGCTGTCTTCTGCCTTCCCCTTCCTTTCAAGTATAGACTCCCTGTCTTGCTGTCTACAGGCCCTGCCCAGGATTGGAAGGAATCTTGTGGGTGCAATATGCCACCTTTAGAAGCAAGTGTGTGATGGAGAAATTTGCAGAAATATCTAATCCATGCCTTCCCAGACATGCACATTGTAACAAATCAGCCACAACACTATATCAAACTAAACATCCTCCCAGGCAATAACTTCTCAAGTTTACAGCATGTCACCAGGATGGGGAGAAATCATCTCTGTCCTAGAACTGAAAACCGTGGCAAACTCCTTTGTTGAGAATGCCCAAACAGTTCTTGTAAATGATCTGTACCTGTGATGACACCCCAAGCCTGGCAAACATCTCCAATCTGAGCATGAAATGGAAGGGATCAGAATCTGTATCAAAACAAAAAATAGGCCAACCATGTAGCTAACAGGTTTCTCAGGATGCTAGAACATCAGTATTCCCCACCATAGAATCATAGAGTCATTTAGATTGGAAAAGACCCTTAGGATCATTGAGTCCAACTGTTAAACTAGCATTGCCAGGTTCACCACTAAAAACCATGCCCCTAAGCACCACGTCTTGTAAATACCTCCAGGGATGGTGACTCAGCCACTTCCTGGGCAACCTGTTCCAGTGCTTGACAATGTTTTGGTGAACAAATTTTTCCTCATATCCAATCTAAACCTCCCCTGGCACAAGTTGAACCATTCTCACCAATGGGGAGTCCTCACTAGTTCAGAAGAGAACTATCCTTTCCTGTTATTGCTGACCACAAAGTCACAGAATAAGGTTGGAAGGGACCTCTCAAGGTCATTAGTCCAAGCCAGGCCACCTACAGACTGTGTCCAGACGACTCTCCATAGAGAGACACACCACAGCCCCTCTGGCCAACCTGTGCCAGTGTTTGGTCACCCTCACAGTAAAAAGAGTTTCCTGATGTTCAGATGGAAATTCCTGTGTTTCCATTTGTGCCCATTGCCTCTAGTCCTGTCCTGGGCTCCACTGGAAAGAGCCTGGCTCTTCTTGTACCCCCTCTTCAGGTATTTATATACATCAATAAGAACCTCCCCAAGACCTCTCTTCTCCAGGCTGAACAGTCCCAGATTTCTCAGCCTTTCCTCACAGGACAGATGCTCCAGTCCTGTCACCATCTCTGTGGCCCTTTACTAGACTCTCTCCAGTCTGTCCATGTCTCTTTTGTACTGATGCAGTTGAGATCTTGACTCAGAGGGTGTTGAGGGATGCCAGCTCTCAATGCCTGCCTGTGTCCCAAGCACGTTCACGCTGGGTGTTGAGTGTAGACAGAGTTCCCAGTAAAATTGTCCAAAGCTCACAAGGCTTCCTTCTCAAACTCATGCTGTCCACCTCTACTTCCCTTTGGACAGCAGTTGGGCTGCCAGTTTGCTGTAGCCATTGCTTATCCCACTTTTCACCTTGTACTCTTGCTATTCACCTTTTTCATCTTGTGTTCTTGCTATCCACCTGCTTCTGTCCTGAGAGGGAGCTCTTCAGAGCTGCACACATTCTCACAATTACTGCGCCGCTGTAATCACAGCCTCTCACACTGGCAACAGTTAGAATACCCACAAACTTTGTGATTAATCACCACTTCCACTAGCAGCTGTTCTTAAGACATCCCTCATGAGGTTATGAAACGGAAGTTGTTGCACTTCCACTGCTCTCCATTCTGTTGTAAATGTGGTTATTTTGAGCAGCTGGAGATAGAGGTTGCAACTTCACATTTCTTGTCTTCTGAAATGTAGCCTCAGGTTTCCTGTTTCACAGGCATGGAGTCACAGAATCACAGAATCATCTGGGTTGGAAAAGCCCTTGAAGATCCTCCAGTCCAACCATTACCCTCACACTGACTGTTCTCAACTCCACCAGATCCCTCAGCGCTGGGTCAAGCCGACTCCAGGGATGGGGACTCCCCCCCTTCTCTGGGCAGCCCATTCCACAGAATCACACAGAATCGTCTAGGTTGGAAAAGACCTTGAAGATCATCATGTTGAGTCCTGTCACTCAACAGCCTGATTGAAACATCTTGTCATATGCACTCTTTGCTTTGGCACTGAGGGAAGCAGATCAGAAACTTCTGCAGCCAAAGCGAGTGAGGAAATAATTGATACTTCTGTCAGATTCTCTCAGACTCCTCCACTGAGGGCCAAAGCTGCATGGGGAAAAAAGAGGTAAGGAAGCGAGATGAGGTAGGTCAACAAAAGATTTTATTTTGAGAGAAAGCAGGATCTAACAAAAACTCTGAGCTGGCCACTGATTCTGAGTGCCAGCTCATTGAGCTGTTCTAAAATTACTATGAGTATTTTAATGTGATAAAAGCTGATGGGTTAGAGACCCAGCATTGTTCCCTTCCCTCTCTTCGTCAGACCCCTTTTGTGTCTACTGGGCATTCAACCCAGGTATCCTTTTCTCTGAAAGAGATTTGCAGTTTTAAAGTTGCCTGCTTGTCAGCTATAAGAGATTGTCAGCAATAGTTCTCTGAAGGGCAGGTGAGACATGAGTACAGATAAATGAGGGGCGTGTGCTAATCAGAGATCAGATACAGAGGAGGTGTATGCGATCATACAGTCTCTCTCCCCTCTGGGGCTCTGCAGGATTCTTTTGTGATACATTTTTTCCTGTGTTTTCTCTGTTCTAGTTTTACGTACCTCCCAGTGAGCAAATAAATTTTCAGCTTTTGCCTTGAGACAGTTCCTCAGGGCATTTTACTATAAGGAAGATTTCTTAGAGCTTGCTTGAAATTCTCTCTTTCCTTACTTCCAGGCCTTGCAGATGTCACACTGAACAATTTCTTTCACTGCTTAGTTGAGAAATACCTCCTTAGAAGAGTGAGATTTTGCATTGGTGGTCATTCTTTCCAAGTGTCTCCTTCTCATGAGCTGATTACTTTTCCTCTAAATGCCCCTGTGCTTTAGACAAGTTGTGTTGCATTGGCTGCAACACTAACGGTTGACCTTTTTTCAGAGCTATTACAGCAAAGGGGGCTTTGTGGGATACGAGATTTCTATGCCCTGATCAGAATAACTGCATATATCTGTGGTTGTTACTGCTGCCTGGTCACTTGCTGCACTATGGAAACAAAGCCAGTACAGAAACCCCCAGTTCCTATCTGGTAATCACAGCACATCTGCTTGAAGGCCACCGTCTTGCTTTTACATTTATTTTCATCAGAAATTATGTTTTCTGTTACACCAGAAAACATGGGGACATCCTTTCATTCCTTGCCATTTGCGTTCACTCCCACCCTGTTGGAGGTGGAGATTACCCAATTGAGATGTTTGCAGTTTTCTTTTTAATATTCCTCCTCTCCAAATTCCTTTATATACCCTCATCTTTTTGAGCTGAAGTCAGAGGACCTAAAATAAGGGAGCTGGTCTTTGAACACACGTTCTGTGCATATTATTTTATTATTTCCTAGCTCTCTTCTGCATGCAAGGAGTCTCTAAGGAGCACAGATTAAGTACCTTCCTTTTCAACTTTGTCCCTGCCTCCATCGCTTTTGAGAGATGTGCTCTCAGGTATTTCATCAGTGTTTTCAAATGCACACCCTTGCTACTAAGTCGTGACGCAGTATCACAGGTATATCACAGGGGTAGAGGTCAGTCCCCTGGTCAAACCAGCTGATTTTGGCTCTCATGGACGACTCGGCAACGTAGAGATGCCCTGGCTGTCCTCTGGCTTCCAGACAGCTTTAGATAAGCCACAAAATGTCATTCCAGCAGTCACTTAAGACAGCATTAGCCTGTGTGACATGCTTGTAGTAACAGCAATAACCAGGTTGGTGCCGTAGCCAAGGACAGGATCCTCGTTTCTCAAAACCTCCTCCCCAGCCCTAGGTAGTCATGCTGCTCCCATACTGACGTAGGCAGGAGCTGAGGGAAACCATTTGGGACGGTGCAATGACATTCTTCAGATTGTCCTAGAAGACTCGAATTACAAAATGCTAACAGCTTTCAGTTTTTGAACTGAGCCTGGACTCCTAAACGTAAAATATTGGGTCACGTTGCTTGCAGATGAATGCAGTGTATCAGTCATTTCTCCAGAGCACTGAGAGACCTAACAGGGTGTTTTGTATACTAGAAAATTACAACATTGGATATTTACGTTAAATGTCCACCAGTCTGCTTCTCTCTTCCCTTGGGGAGACTTCCACAGTTCCTCAGACAACTACATGGAAATATTTCTGATGCTCCATTGAAATTTCCCTCCTCTGTTTCGAACTCATCTCAGGTACTTCTCCCATCCTCTTCTACAAGAGCTTCACGTGTAGTCCAGGGGCTGAGGATCAAACACAAGCACCTGAATCTCTTTTAAAAAGGGGGAACTGCAGGGACTCGCCTTTGCAAGGGGTAAAAATCCAAATTTATGAGATTCTTTATTCCACTTTCCTGGACTGCCGTTCAAGTGAGGCTTAAATTCACCTTGAATACTTCAATATGACTTTCACACTTTCTTTTCTCCTCCCAAAATTATCTAATGGCATAATTTTTCATTTTTAAGAACTAAAATGAACTCTCCCACTGCTCTGGTTGTGGAGGTGTCCTGGGATTTTGTTTTGATGCTGAGTCGAGTCAGTTCCTTTTTTCTGCAATTGGTTTGAAACAATAGTGGGTGAACTGCTCTATTCATTGCCAGGAGGCACCAGCTTGGGTGCCGGTGCTGACATTTAAGGATTAACCATTTCACTGACTGTCATCCCAGTTGCCTTGCCCTGGAAGTAGTTATCCTAAAATCAGGAACAGTGATCCGGTCGATGCAGGAGGTAGCTTCTTTGGGAGGCAAGAGAGGAAGGAAAACAGAAGTGCAAATCCTCAGAAAAGTGGTCTCAAAACAAAGAATTATGTTTCAATTGATATTTATCTCCTTTTACTTAGTTTTCAGCTGTAATCCGAAGTGAAGAAGCGTCACCTTTAACCTCGGGCTGACTCCATTCTCCTGAGGTTTAATCTGAATGCAAGACCCACACCACCAGAGCTGCAAAAGCGACTTTACAAGAGGAACCGAGAGCAGGCAGAGAGACCAGCTACCCAGTACAAGTCCTTCAGTTCGCCCATTGTCCTCTTGCCTGAAGCTGAGGAGGAGGGTGTAACTGAAAAGTCTTTCCATATTTTGTAATTGAAAAGAGATGGGGTTTTGTTCTTTAATAATGATTAATAAGATAAATAAATGTCGCGATTTTTTAACTACAAGTGGGACAGCTAGAAGATCCTTCAGGCTTCAGGAGACACAACAAAACCTTTACCTTAGGGAAGATCTTTCTACTGGAAGAATGATGCTTACAGCAAAGCTCCCTCATGCTTTCATTTGTTACCTTAGAAACTTCTTTTAGGCAAAACCGCAGGTCTAAATATATTGCTATAAACCAGAAACTGGTCTTAAAACTGCTGAGCCTGCAAACTGCTCTAAGATAAAAATAAATGAATTTTTATGAATTTATTGATCTGGTCTACTTTCTGTATTTGGGCAAAGCTTCCAATGCTTAAAGGATGCATTCTTGTTTTCAGGTGAAGTCCCTTCCCCTTCTGTTTTAGCGCTGTCTTTCTTTGTCCTTCCCACAATATTCTTGTTACATGACGTGCATTTGTTTTCAGCCTCCACCAAGAGCTCCTAAAAAAAGTCCCCCCTACTGCTTACAAATATTTTATTCTCTTAGCCATCCCTTTAAATTTCTCTCTGACAAACTTCTTCACTTTCCTGTAGTTTCCCATTTTGAAATTATTACACAACAGTGCTTTTTGGTGATGGTGTTGGTGGTTTTTGTCTCCGTTGAATCTCAGTGAGTTTGTGTTCACTGCAGCAGAGAAGCTGCTGGATGGAGCCACAGGGCACGGGGTGGCCTGAGCACAGCTCAGGGCAGTCACGACATGCTTTGTTTTCTGTGTTTCCTGGCTCTCCACTCCACAAGGTGCTTGTTGATGGTGTCTAAGCATTCAGTCTCAGTATCATACCCTGACATGGCATTTGCATAATTTAATTTGATTAATTGACACCTGTCATAACCGTGCTTCCCTCACAGTTGCTCCGGTTTTGTTTTTTTGCTGAATTCATGAGTGCTGTCACCATCCTTGTCTGGCAGTCCTCTCTGTGTCCAACTCTATGCATTTTGTAGCATTTGCCTGGTCTGTGGGGATGCTGTTACCGTTAGTTCTTGATGCAGTTAGTTATTTAACATAATTTGACTGTAATTTTACTTGAGCAGAGAACAGGTCCCTCCGTCTCCCCTGTGTATTTTGTATCCTCTTGCTCACAGCTCTTCTTCTACCAAGTTTTCCATGTGCTTGCTGTGGTAGTGTCTTTGGTTAAAGCTGCCCTTCCCCTTCTTCCATCTTACTCCTTAGACTCTTAGCCTTTTTTTGGAGTACAGATCTGTTTGTTTGGGTCTTGTGACATGACCAAGAGAGAGGAGCATGTCAGAATTTATGAGCTTCACTGGGGACTTTGCTGCCGGATTTGCATAAAAGACTCTGGAGCACCACAAGAGCAGGATGTGGTACATAAGCTTAAGGGAAAAGCACAGGGAAATCCTGGGTTCCTCAACATCATTAGCTGCACATTTAGTGCTTCTTAGAAAGTCCTGTTGTCTGTGCAGCTGTCAGAGTGAGATTAATAAAGCAAGAAAACCACCCACCACCACCCCCCCCCGGAGCTCTTCCGTGGCAGTAAGTGTCATCCTCTCCTTGGCCTGGAAGAGAGGAGATTTTAGTGCTGAGATTTCAAATGGCTTATGAAAAGTGAATGCCTCTTGGATCAAACACAGGTCCAGGAGATAACAACAGGAAAGCAAGGTGTAGCCTGGTGGTTACCACGTTGTGCTGCTGTACATGAGTAGATCTCTACATAGCAGTCCTGCCCCAGCCTTTGAAGGGAATACTGGACATCTCCCTAAAGGCTGCTTTGATTTGGGAGATGAGTAAGATCACAAAAGGGTGCTGAGGGTGAACAATGAACAGCAAAGGACCGGAGACTCATCTAAACACAGGAGCTCAGATCCTGAACTCCATTATATGAGGTTAAAGCAGAAGCTGTTCTAGGTTTCTACCAGCCTTGAGTACCCACTGCCCATCCAGAATATTCTGTAGAATATATTTCTTGTGCAGACTCCAGGCAACCCATTTCAGATTCTGTGGCAAAGAACAGTGAAACATATTATTGAAAGTTTTTTGTAGACTTGTCTGCTGTAACGACAGTGGTAAACTGTAGAACAAATATGCAATGTCTGTAACACTTTTTCTTGCATGCAGAAGGTGCTAAACCATGTAGGAGAACTTACTGTTTTGTGCTTGAAGTCCATTCACTTGATGTGTGAGATGATCACACCGTACCCACAGAATGATGTAATTTTTTCCCTTACTTTTTGCACACCCAGAGTGTCATCTGCTGTTTTGGTTCTTAGGTATCCGAGTAGTTCAGAGGAAACCTTGGGGGAGAGGGGTGTGTGTGGCACCAGCATCAGAGTGTATGTGACTCTTGCATGAATTTGGAAATTGCACAGAGGATATGAAGTTCAGTGTTCATGCATTGTTGTTTTTAGATGCTTATCCCGACTTGTGTTTTCTCCATTGCAACTATCCAGAAGTGTTGATTTTCAGCAGCTCCTTGCTGACAAGTGTCTTTCTGTTGGTTAATGGTAGAGAAAAGCAGGTATTTTGATTCCTTTACAGGTGACTCCCACACACGCTGCCCTGAGCAGTGGGTGGCCTACAGAGGGAGCTGCTACTCCTTCTCCAAGGAGAGGAAGGACTGGTATTCCAGCCAGGAATCCTGCTGGGCACAGGGAGCTCATCTCCTGATGATCAGCGATACCTGGGACACGGTAAATGGTTTTCATGTGCTTTGAGGATCTTCCACTTCCTTGCAGACACCTCAGTGATTGACATCCAAGCAGTGCTGTCGCTCTGTCAATATTTTGACTTTAAAGAAGAGGAAAGATTTATGACTGTGATGTTACAGTGCACTTCCAATTTCAGTACACACAGAAGTTCCCAGGAGGGAAAGAAGCAAAGGGGAGAAGGTGGGGGTCACTGTCAGCTACTCAGAATCATCCTATGAAGGATGTTAGGAGACAGCCGCCTTCTCTGCCCCTCTCCGCCTCCCCTCCTATCCCCAGGAAGGTTGATGTGAATGATTACAGGAAAAGACTGCAGCACTGTGCAGTCACTGTACTCGTTGCCTGAAAACCATTATGTCCCCACTCTCCAGAAATGCTTCCTTTGCAAAAGCGGTGCCTCCCCTCCCTGCAACTGCTCCAGCTCCTCCTGCACAGTGACCCTTGCCACTCCCTGTGTTCATGCACGGGGATTTCTTTCTCTGTTTTCAATGCTCACTCACATCCTCTCTCTGCCAAAAACCCTCAGTTGTGCTGGTGAAATCAGAAACCATCTATTCCTCTGCTTGTTTTCCAGCAGGTGCTCACTGGTGCAGGGGCATGTATGACCACTAAAGAAATGGGTAGAGCTGATCACTAAGGAGGTGAGGCATGTCTGCCTAAATAGAGCAGAAGTACTTGATCTGGTTTTACACAAGCCAGGGCTTATTAGCTCAGGTCCAATGAATGTGGACAGCTTCCAGTCCCTGGACAGAAGTTGCATTGTATGATGTTCTGTGGGGGCTTACAAAGCCAAGCCTCTTCTCGACTGGGAGTATGTACCAGGCTGTCACACTTGCTTAGGCAAATCCTGATTCCTCAGGAAATACCCATCTTCCCCAAATTACCCATTTCTCTGCGTGAAGAAAGCCTCCCTGTTCCATGTGCTTTCTTACTACTGTTTCTGCTACTAAAGTGTTACCCATTATCCCTGCTCAGACTTCCCCACGTAAGCAAAACTTTCCTAGCTACCCATGCCCTGTGCTGCAAAGGCTGTGATTGTTCAACCTCCCTTTGCCAGGGAAGCACAGTCACCTCCAAACCACCAGCAACACTCAAGCATTCCTCGAGCTGCTATTCCCACCACTTTACTAAGCCAGCTTTGTTAACGGCAAGGATGGAGCCCAGCTGTACCACTGAAAGGTTTCTGTTGTTTGGTTTTATTGCAAATATGGACAAGACAAATTTTTTTTTTTTTTTTTTTTTTTTGGGGGGGGGGGGGTGGGGGGAAGGGGCAGGGGGGAGGAATTTACTTCAGGGCTGAGTTTCTGTGCAGGCTTCACTTTTTAACAGTAAACAGGAGTTAAAGGTTAGGCAAGAGGAAATGAACATTGAAAACACGTAGGAGGAAAGTTTGTATAAAATTTAATGAGCTTTGGTCCTGGGCTCTTTACACAGATCTGTCAGTGCCTTTGCTTCCTGCCCTGGCCTGATTTTACCTTTAATTGTTAATACTTTGTATTAGCTTTCTGGCTAGCTGTATGGTAGAACATTGATATTAATACTAATAGCATACATTCCTACATAAAGCTCTGTGTAGGAAACTCCAGTAGAGTGGGGTGCATTGCTCTGAGGAATATCCTTTGAAGAATCTTCCCAGGACCCTTGAAAGCACGTTCTTTCCTTGTGAGTGTACACATAGTTGTTATTTCAGGCATGATCTGCAGGGCTGATCTTCCTGATTAGAAGATGCTGAGAAGGAGTATTGTCAGACTCTTAAGGAACAGTCAGTCCAGAGGATTATCTTGCTCTCTGTTCTCTTTACTTATCCTTACCTCCATTTTCTGGTTGACATTCATTAGTCACTTTGTAATTTGTCACCATTTCTAGGACCTGTTCAAGAGTATTCAATCAGGATATTTCTGGATTGGATTGAGGAACAGCACAGGCTCTGGATGGATTTGGGAAGATGGCTCTATATTCGATGGCACTAAGTGAGTTTCATCCTGTTTTAAAAACAACAGTGCTAATTCAGAATGCCGGGTGTTCTGCAACACCCAGAGTTCCTGCATCAGATCTCAGGAGCTTTCTTCCTGGGCAGGTTTTCTTCTTACTGTCACCTACACTGTATGGCACTGAACTCAGAAGGGTCTGCTTTTTACTTCCCTGCACCTTGTAAAGGCATGTACCTATGAAAAGGAGGGCTAATGTTAGTATCTCACTCTCTGCTTCCCTCCAGATCTGCTCAGACCAAGGATTATTTACCTGTGCTGCCCACACAGTGACTCATCCAGAAAAGCACATGGTGCACCTTGCAGTTGTTCTGCCAAGAGCTGGTGTCACTGGGTGTGAGGACCCAGCCCTTTGATGCTTCACTGGTGCCAACCCAATTCAGAACCTTAATTTTGGTTCAGTCTTTACTTGGACAAAGCTTGGCATTCTTCATGAGGGAAAACAGTGACTTTGCCTGGCCCTTTCCTTTTTATGACAGTTAAGACAGAGAGTTAGCCTCTAACACTTCTCCAGCAAGGAAACTCGCCCAAGATCTCACTGTCAGTAGGTCAGTACTCTAAGCACTTGGCTTAGTTTCTTTTAAACCCAGCTTTCTGTTCTTACAAACTCCTTGGAGGCAATCATGTTTTGATGAAACTCTCAGCACTGCTGTTTTCATGGAGAGGTTGAGTTCTTTCCCTTCCTCTGGCCCCACCCTTCAAAATCAGATATTTTTTTCTTTTTTGCCTCCAGGAGACAATCTCAGCATTTTATTTCAGTCTCACTTTTGTTTCATGTCTCTTGCAGAGTCCTCTCCAACAGCCCGATGCAACATTGTGTTGTCCTGATGAAAGATCACTTTCAGGCCTCCAGCTGTGAATTTTGTGCTCCATGGATCTGTGAGAAATCTCACAGATAAATCCTATGTGCATTTTCATTTAATAGCCATCTCGTCAGTTGTACAAGTAGTCACTGTCCTGCAAACCAAAGCTCTACACAAGACCAAGGACTTGCCTTTTCCACACCCTCACAAAGGTGTTTTGCAGGGACAAGCTTGTTGCCCGTAAGGGTGAGTTATCCTCAGCAGTAGATCTGCTCAGTCCACATGTGTTGGATTAATGCTGTCTGTGACCAGATGAGACCTGAGTTAGATTCTCTGGCCTAGTCTCTTTGCCTGATTTGTTACTATAAGGGCAAACAGAAAATTAGTCACAACAGATTGCTGGGTCTTCAAATCTCTGAGGGTGAGTTGGCCATTTTCCTCCATTCCTGAGCATCAGATTTCATTTCCATTTCCTGCATTTCCATTGTCTGGTGTCAGCAGGATCAGGAAAATGAAGCCTGCTGAACAGACTTCTCCCGGTAGCAGCCTCTTCTTTTGCATTCCAGGGCTATGAATGAGAGAGAAGAGGGGGAAATGAGACTACAACTTCTGTAAATCCATCAGTGAAAAGAAACCTCCAGTACTGCACTGGACCAAAAGTGTGTACCCATGTCAATGCTTCTCTCTGTTGGAAGGAACCATCTGCATGCCATGCTTTACAGGACAGCTTCAGCCAAACTAGTCAAGAGGCTGGACTTCCAGAGGCAAAGGAATATGGTTAATTGTGCATTGTTGAATCAACCAAAAATGTGTTTCTGCCTCCATCTTTGCAGTTTCAGAGAGAGGAAGAAGTGGACAAATCATTACTACAAGGAGCTTTTAGTTCAAATAGAGCAGAGACAGGCTAAGAGTGTGAAAAGCGTATAAACAGAGGGATATGGTGTAGTTGGGAATTGTCAGTGCCAGGTTAATGGTTGGACTAGATGATCTTCAAGGTCCTTTCCAACCTAGATGATTCTGTGATTCTGTGAAACACAGTGAACTTTAAGGGTGGGACAGTAGGTTGCACTTCCACTGACCTGAAGTCTCTTTTTCCACCCAGAGATTTTATTCCAACAAAGGAAGATAAATTTTATTAATGTCCTGTTTATCCTAATATATTTATATTCTATTTCAATTTGCTATTATCAATTTATCCTTGGTCCGGAATTGCAGTTTACAGTCCGATGCAGTCAGAGCAGCAACTCTGACAGGACTGCCTGGTGATGGGTGGTGCTGATGCAAAGTGTCTGCTGCTATGGTCTGAGAGTTTGCCTGTACGTGTCCAGCACATCCGCTGTGTACTAGCGGGTGTACACTGCTGGGCCTCTATCAACTGTGTCTGAAGCACACGCAGGAGCTGTGGCCTGCTCTGAACACCCACCTCGCTGTGCCCACAGTGCACAGGAGTGTTTCCGTGGGGATGTCCCAGATAGGAAGCCACAAGCCTTGGCAAGCAGCAGGTTAGTGATAGATGTTCCAAGGTGTGTGTTTGTTCTGGGAGAGACAGGCTAGAGAAGTGGGCTGACAGGAACCTCATCAAGTTCAACAAGGAGAAGGTCAAAGTCCTGAAGCTGGGGAGGAACAGCCCATACACCAATATATGCTGGGGGTGACCCAGCCGGAAAGAAGCTTTGCAGAAAAGGACCTGGTGAACACCAAGTTGAACATCAGCCAGCGATATGCCCTTACTACAAAGGAAGTGAATGGTATCTAGCCAGCTGGACAAGGGAGGTGATCCTTTCCCTCTGCTCAGCACTGTGGAGGCCACACACTGCAGTACTATGTCCACTTCTGGGCTTCTCAGTCCAAAAGAGACAGGGACACACTGGAGAGTCCAATGAAAGGCCATAAAGATGATGACAGGACTGGAGCATCTCTCCTGTGAGGAGAGGCTGAGACACCTGGACAGCTTCTAGAGAAGAGAAGGCTGAGGGGAGAGCTTATTAATGTATGTGTATTATATATACATTAATATGTATGTATAGATTAATATGTATTTATAATAGATTAATAGATATATAATGCACCTGAAGAGAGGGTACAAAGAGGACAGAACCAGGCTCTGTTCAGTGGTGCCCAGTGACGGGACCAGAGGCAATGGGCACAAACTGGAACACAGGAGGTTCTCTCTGAACATCAGGAAACAACTTTTTTACTGGAATATTCCTTTGGCCAGTTTGAGTCAGCTGTCCTGGCTGTGTCCCCTCCCAGATTCTTGTGCCCCTCCAGCCTTTTTGCTGGCAGCGCATGAGAAGCTGAAAAATCCTTGACTTATAAACACTACTTAGCAACAACTAAAACCATCTGTGTGTTATCAACATTATTCTCTTACTAAATCCAAAACACAGCACTGTAGCAGCAACTAGGAAGAAAATTAACTCTATCCCAGCCAAAACTAGGACAGAGGGTAACTGAGCACTAGTGCAGGTTCCCCAGAGAGGTTGTGGGGGTCTCCATCCTTGGAGGTATTCAGAAGCTGTCTGGAGGTGGTCCTGGGCAACCGGTTGTAGGTGGCCCTGCTTGAGTAGGAGGCTTGGACCCAGATGACCTTGAGAGGTCCCTGCCAAACTCAACCACTCTGTTATTCTGTGAGAGACCTGCTAAAGGTAAGGACAAGGAAGGCACTTGGGGTAGAAGGAGGTAGGTGGGGAAGAAGGGCAGGTCTGGAGAGAGGAGGTTGAGGAGGCAAGCGTGGAGGAGAGACGGAAGTTAAGAGCTAATGTAAGTAAAGAACTAAAGAGCATGATGCATGGTGGGGAAGATCTAGGGAGAAACTAATTGTCCCAAGCACTGGAGGTTTCCTCTGCTAGATCAAGGATTCATGAGGAGGATTACAAATAAGTTGGAAGTGATTGTTATTGGGATTGATGCTGCTGTGCCACATGTAAATAAGCACTACAAACAACTGTGAAATCACAGAGAAAACAGAAACAAGATCTTGTCTCCAAAAAGAAAATTGCTGTTTCCCCCCAGCAATTTTCTTTTCGAATAACTGAAATTCTCCTTGCATCACCTGGTTGAAAGAAACAACTTAATGCAGTTTTGAGGAATCCAGCTGCAACGCAACAGCAGATTCCTCACCCTGCCATTTACAGAATGCCTTCAATTGCGTATCCCTGGTATGTGGGGCTTGACATTCATAGAGGATGTAATACATGAAGGTATCAGGGCAGATGAAGACAAAATACAGAAAGTGGATGTCTGCTGAGCCTCATGCAGAGTTCACTGAGCTGAAGGGGTTGTGGTGGGAATGTCCCCCGCAAGGGCAGGTCTGCTTTGCAATAGCCATGCCTGCAACCGTCGGACCTGGGGAAACTGTGAGAAAACCACAGTATTTATTTTAAGCAGTGTACTAGGAGCTAAAAACTTTGAGTTTTCATCTCAGATTGTCTGGGTTACTTTGGGTGAGTCATTTTGTCTGTGCCAGAGCCCATTCAACTCTCAAAGGAAGATGTTGTCCCTGACTCCTAGAAGGTTGCCAGGCCCTATGAAATAATGCTGGAGACTTTTCCTGCTTTGTCAAAATGGTGGTAACATCTACAGAAGAAAACCTAGCTGTTACTTTACTAGAGAACCCCAGTGAAGAACAGCTTGTGATGTTATCATGATACGTGTAGGTGAGGTGAGCACGTCTCTGAGCTTGCTAGTTTACCTTGTGACTTGTGCAACAGTTTTGCCTCCCCTAGGATTTTACAGTGCAGTGCATACTAGACTATTTTTATTTTTAGTTCTTCTCAATCTCATCCAAAAGTTGATGTTCAGGAAATATAAGATAAATAAATACATTAGGTTGACTCAAAAGTTGACTGTTATTTAAAGGGAAAGGATATTCAGCTGTGGATTTTACTTTCAACAATGTATGTGGTGCCTTTCTGGGTTCAAGTTTTTACAATACTAAAGGGATTTGAAGCAAATATATCCATTTCCATGAAAAGCAGTTGAATAAATGTATTTGGCAGAGCTTTTAATCTTCTTCTAGAGCATGCTAATATATCTGATCGATATATACTAATTTTGTTGGAAGTAAGTTCTTTTTGGATGAACTTTCTAAGCAGCAATGAATGACTACTGGAGGAATATGGCTAGCAGATCAAGGGAAGTTACAGTCCTCATTCTCCATGGCATTTCTGAGGCTGCACTTGGACTGTGCCTTGTCTGCTGACCCCACCGTTCAAGGGGAACATGGAGAAACTGGAGCTGGCCCAATGGAGGACTAACAAACTGGTCAGAGTATGGAGCACATGACCCACGGGGAGTGACAGGGGGAGCTGGGCTTGTTTAGTCTGACCAAGAGGAGGTTGGAGTGATTAAAGAGCTGCCTACAAATACTTGAAAGGCACTTATAAGGATGTTGGAACATGACCTTTCTCAGTAGGGGCAGAAGACACAACATGGGGCAATGGCTGCAGCTGCAGCATGGGGAGTTCAGATTGGACATGAGGAAAGGCATCTTCTCCAGAGATTAGTGCAACACTGGAACAGATCACTGGAGAAATGGTAGGTTCTCCATCCTTGGAAGTTTTCAAGATCTGATTTGACAAAGTCATGACTGACAGCATTGGCAGCAGTCCTGCTTTAAGTGAAAAGATGGACTAAATAACTTCTAGTTAACTTCTTGTTGCACAGCTGGGGCACCTGTTCTTTGAGCTATACCAAATGACAGATCACTTGACATTCACCGAGAGAAATCTGGGAAAGGTAATACTTAAAACATACTCTCCTCCTTGCAGGAGTTTTCCTGAGGAGCTTAGTGTTAACCACTTAAAATCTAGCCCAAAAGTTCTAGGAAGCCTGTCGGCCTTCTCAGTTGTACTCACAGCAGGTGGAAATGGCAGGAGAGAGAGGGAAAACTCGTTGCCAGTGCCTCGTCTGTGCCACCACCACCTACAAGCTGAATCACATGGGCCATGCAGAGACCCTTGAAATGAGGCTGCTGGGGCCTAAGTTGCTATTGGGAATGGGATGGAGGCCAAGCAGTTTGAGGGCAGATTTTAAAATTCAGTTCAATATCTGTGCATGTTCATTGATACCTACTGGGGTTCTTAAGCCTTTAAATTCTTGCCCTGTTCAATGGACTGAAAATATTTCTTTTCAATTTTTGGCTACACAGCACATTTTTTGCCAAGGTCCTAATGATTGGGAGCTGACTTGTCAGTGGTGTGAGCTGTTTGGATATTTGCCAGAAAGGGCAGCCCTTGCTTCCTCTGCTGTGTGCAGATCTGCACCTCTTTCCTGTAAGGTTTGTGTTCAATCGGGCCAGCTCGCACCCTCTTCAATGTAAAGTGTCATCTTCAAAGAGGCTTTGCCCACCCCAAGGACTCTTTCTCTGCAGGTGGGGCAGATCCTCCTGGATTACATTTCTTTTGGGCAGGCAGAGCAACCTTTAGACATCAGGTGGAGAAGGCAGAACACAAGCCTGAGCTGTCTTTTGTCTTTCCCAAGGAAACTGGACATGCACTATTATCCTCTCCTTTCCCGTGCAGGTCACTGCAGGGCACAATGAGGTCTGTAGTGAAGGTTGGTTATCTCATTGCACTTGCATTTCTTAACTCCAAAGTTCCTGAGCTTGCCAAAATTCTGATGATGATAGTAGGAGAGGAGAAGGACAGGCAGATAATAATTTTATCCTGCACCCTTTTTAATCTGAAAATTATGCTTTATATCCTATAACATAGATCTCCATTATTTGGAGTTAGGACTATGAGTAAGAAAGATATTCTACTGTCACTTGCAAGGGTAATAATTAGCAGAGCTATTGATCCTCCTGCTTCGGACCAAGGTAAAGACAGTAAAGACAGTGGTCAGAAAGAAATTTCCCTCGTGAGACAGCATTGTGCATCACAGCACATTATGTGGATTTTCACATGATGAAACCAGGAAAGACTCCATCAAACAGCAATAATTTGATCTAGATGTGCCAATAACTTGACCTGGAACAAGAACCAGTACAAGGAAAGCAAGACCCAGGCCACATCTGTTCTGCTGTGGGAGGGCAGCTGCTGCTCTGGGGAGCTGGTTAATGTATTACATGCTGTTAATGGGTTGAACTTTTGGCAGCTTCCCATCATGTCACTGTCCCTGTTTCTGTCAGGGTGA